TACTTGGAGGAGGGCTTTCTCTGCGGTGGTGCCCAATCTATGGAATGTGCTCCCCAGAGAGGTCCGCCTGGCGCCATTGTTATTTGTTTTTCGGCGCCAGGTGAAGACCTTTTTATTTAAACGTCATTTTAATTGTTAACAATATTTACTTATTTATCTGGCCAGGGCGACTTCTTTTCTTTTTTCTTTTCTTTTCTTTTCTTTTCTATAAAACTTTTCTTTTATAACTTCTTTTATATTGTTTATATATATATATATATATATATATATATATATAATTTATTTTATATTATTAATTTTAATTTCATATTGTTATTTTTGTATTGTATTGTATTGTATTGTGTTGCGTTGTAAGCCGCCCCGAGGCTTCGGCAAGGGGCGGCATAGAAATGTTCTAATAATAATAAAAAATAATATACACATTTGCTTATCACTCAGTAATATAATACATATCCATACTGAACTGTAGGCTTCCACACAATTAAAGATGTGTTATGTGTTTGAGAAATTTAAGTTAGGACATCCACATTTTACAGACTTGCCTATGCATTGGACTGAATTTTTAAATGTATTTTTATCAGGTCACAAACGCAGGATAAAAATAGTTCTACTTCAAAAATGGCAAAAGACAGAAGAATTCTCTACTGAATGCAAATGGTTTTACACTTAAATTTAAAGCATAGCTTTATAATTTCATGTTCAACCAGAAATACAACTAAATTCTCATATAGGTACAAATAATATCAAGAATAGAAAGATATCAAATATTATAGTGATTTTTTATTTTATTATATTTCTAATCAGCTCACTGACTAATGTTTATAAACAGTTAATTTTTACAATAATGTATTTTTATAAAACAATTTTACCCTTGGCATTCTGAAGGAGATAAAGCACTCTTTCCCACACCCAGTATAGAAACATAGTGTGCTACTAGACAATGGAAAATGTGCTTCATCTTTCTTCTAGCAGCCCAGTCTTTCATCTGGGTGAATTTCCTAGTTTTCTCTGAGCAGGTATCTGATTAAAAGTTAGTCTAGGAAAAACCTAGCATTTGGTTCCCACTGCTGGTCCAATGAGATCCCTTATTTATTTGGATAATGTGTTTCATTTTACTTTATGCTGCTTTTACTGTAAGACCGTCCCAAGACTCTAGCAGTTGGACAGTATATAAAAGCTTTAAACAAACAAATAAAAAATAAATTTATTCTGTTGCTAGGAGCCAGCTGCATCCCCTGCAGCACAGGTACACATCCTATGGCCCAGTAGCTGCACGCAGTCCAACAAAGCCATTCTTGTGACCTATGCTATGCTATACACCCTCACAAAAACTGATAGCAAATTCCCTGCTGCCTGTGCTCTCCACTCCCTCCCCCAAAGACATTAATACAGATTGCTGGGGGGATGCATGTGTGCATTCATGTGTGTTTACAGAAGCATGCCCGTAGCTGCAGATAGCTGCATGGCAGCCTCTGAGTCCAAGCCCAACATTAATGCCAAAATGTTGTGTGCCTTTACTACAGCATGGAAGCAGCAGGCAGTAAAATGAATACATCAGAGTTAAGAAACCAATCCACATGAAGCAGCCTCACTTCCCAGAAATATTCAGTATTTATATTTGAGGAAAGAAATGCTGAAAAAATGTCGGTAGAGCTTGACATATCTGCCCACTTGTATTCCATATTATATCACATTAGCTATTATAGTACAAACAGCAGGCACAACACAAAGCATGCTACTCAAATTTTGTTTCAAATGAATTATTTTGGACCTTAGCTCAGTAAAATGAAAAATTGCTTTCTCTGGAGTGATCCAGAAAGAGACCTGATAACATTAAATTTACTGTAATTGAAATCATAGGTTTATTTTCCTTTGAATGGAAATAGGCATAGCATAGGTATTTTTTATTATAAAGGAATAAGATTATTACTTATTGTAAGTAATACCTGAGACACCACAATGAGTATGGTCATAGAAGAGCTGATGATACATGGCAGACTTTTTGTAAATGACATGAGGATGACCACTTTCATAACTGAAATTATTGAAATTTTCAGTTGCATTTCTTAGAGGCTCAATAAAATACTCTTCATCTTCCGTAGCAATAACACCATGCTAAAGGGAAAAAGAGAACAAGAATGGAAGTTGTCCATCATAAAAGTATAACACACAGACAGACAGAATACTTCAGTCCCTAGCTCAGTTAAATGGATTCCACTTATTTAAGTAAAGGCAAGTCTCTTTCAAAATTATAAAAATGAAAACAAAAGCATGTCATAAAGAGGCTTTAGTTATTAACATAATGCACAAATAAGATGTGCTTCCTAGATTTATATTTATGTCAATAAAGGAGAAAGTCCTGATAAAGTTTGTGCGTTTCCTTCAGGGAAAATATGCAACCCCTGACAGCATTCCTATTTCATGTACAAGTAACATCCAAAGATATATATTCTCAAGATAATATTTTTTCCAGGCATGCTGGTTTTGTATAGTTGCAATGGCAAATTATTTAGAATGATAAAAACAAAAAAGGAAATACATGTTTAACACATTATTTCTGAATAAAGCAGTTTCAAATATACATTTTAGTCAATAAGCACACAGATGTTTTATGGCATATATTGTTTAATATCACATAATACACTGACAGTTTTAAATTACAAGGTTATAATTGATCAATTGCTACTGATAATTTACAATACTAAGAAACACTTGCTATTTTAGTAAACAAAAATATTTGCCTGTAACTGCTACTCTTTGAGTGGATATTCTGTGTAATCACACACATGTGAATATACTTGAGTATATCACAGGCAGGACCTTCCAAAAATCTCTGGAGCATTAGAAGTGCTGTCCAACTCAACTTGCCCATAAGCAGTAGATTCCCATGCTGTGGACAAGAAGATGGAATCAGTGCCATCCCACTTCATTCCATCCACTGACAGTCACAGAAGGCATAAATAACAGACAACCCACACAATAAGGTTTTGATTTCAGTACAAATTCCTACTGTAGCAAAGAAGTACATATTGTGTAACTGTACAGAATATCTTGAGTTGGTTTTAGTTTAATATATACAACTGAGCTGGTGGAAGTAGAATTCCTGTCCCACTCCTCCCCATGGTGGTCCCTTTAGCTGCTAAACGGACAATCAGGGTCTTTGTTGAATGGAGTGAGCTGAGATGCATGGTGTGAGGTTACCCAAAATCAGGTGGAGGCATCTTCTGTGAGCATTCTACCCTGAAAGGCAAATCTTGGCTCTACCCTCTTGTGTAATTGCATAATAATGACCTTTGTCTACTAGGGAAAAAATGCAGGTAAGTGAAAGGTCAGTGCTGATTATCAATACCTCCTGTGCTACAGCATTGCCAGTAACGGGGTGGGGGGAGTTTCAAAAAGTAGCCAAGAGTCTATTTTCCTTGAGATAAACTGGTAGTCCAAAATAAGACTTTATGAAGATGTGTCTGAGTTGCTGTAGAGAAAAATTCATAGGCATTCGGCTGTGTATACTTCCAGGTGAAAGGGTTCACTTGGAAGTGGAAGTACATCCACTAAGTACTCCTTTGTCAGCACAGGAGAAGAAGGAATCACTCTGAGGAGAACAGAGATCCCAGTTCTTGACTGGGAGACGCAATCTAGTATAAGATGCCTGAATAAACATGGTCTCTGAAAAGGAAGGGGAAATAGCGGGGGGCAGGGGGGGGAATCTTAGAAATCAGTTGGAATGGAGGCAAATCAAACAACTTTCTGAATTGAAAAAACAAGATTGCTGCAAATGCTAGCAGAAAACTAGGGATATTTGGCATCATCTGCTGTAAAAAAAGTCAATATCTGGCTACCACCCAAAATGGAGGAACAGTTCATGAAGAAAATGCTTGAATCAGTTAAGGAAATCCAACCAGGTAGTTTATCCCTAGAAACAGCTGTGAGATAAGTCATCTTAAAGTCTACTACTAATGCTTGTTACTAAACTATACAACAGAAAAGACAAATAATTATGTGTGTTGTGATAAAACTTTATGAATGCCATGCCAATTGTAATCTGCACAGTGAAGTTTTTCAAAGAAATAACAAAGCCCCTGAAGAAGGGTTATTTGGGTTTGCCTCTGATGCATTCTACAGGCTCTAGGCTGACAACCCCTGGAAAAACAGTTCAGTCTGGCTAAAGTTCAAGGCACTGAACTTGGTTAAGAGGACATTTACCTCCAAGGGCCAGAGGAGTGTGTCAAACATTGTATTACAAGGTCTCAATCATCAGTGAAGAGATAAGAAACCAGAGGACTTGGAATCTTGGACAGAGGGGATTGAAACAGGGGGGACATCCCAAGCTGCAGTTGGGGGGAAAAATAAATCTTCAGTTGTGCACGAGCACACAATCATTTTTCAACTTCTGAAGAAATATGAATAGCTGTTAATTCAAAGCAACATCCCCAGCTTGGTGCCCCCTAGTATTATTGAGGATGGGCTGATAGGAGTTGATGTCCACAACATTTGGAGGGTGCCAGGTTGCAAAGGTTGATCTAAAGTATGGTGATGAAAGAAGCCTGATAGCAGTTGGAGCTTGACTGATCAGTAGAACCAAGAGGATGTCAGCACCAATAAAAGTGTTGAACTGTGTGGGAGTGCGGTGAGATGTCTCCAAATGGATAATAGTCCTAGGAATTTTACAAAGAAATGATCATATTCTCTTATGTGCTACAGTTGTATGATGAATACATCTACTACAAGGTGGATGTACACAGCAATCTCAGTCATGTCCTTTAAACAAACCTTGTAGTTGGGACTCTTTTTGGTAGGGCATGTTTCAAAGTAACCAATGGTACCTCTATGAAATGGTGAAAGAAACATAGGCATTAAAGGAAAAAGGGAATTTCTTCGAATTAAAGTATTTAGAATTTTTGATCACAAACATTTATTAGTTCACATGGCAGAAGTCGGGAACTGGACAGACACACCCTCCCTTGTGTTCTAAGAACTATAAAACAGTTCTGCTGAATTGTTGTCATGACTTCCTCCTTTTGAAGGAGTTCCTCAAGCTTAGATGCAAGAAATGCATAATCCAGGAATCAGAGCAGCTCAATTGTTCAGCACAAAACCTGAGAAAGCATGGAATTCTATAGTTTTGTTGAATGACTGACAAGGCGTAATGGTCAGTAGTACTCTGATGCCAGCACGGAGAAAAGATCAAAATTGATGGCAGAACTGGGGATGCGGTAGCAATGAGGAGACTTAGTTTTGAAGGCAGAGAAAGAGGAATCATTCTTGAATAGAAAGTTACATTCTGAAACTTGTTTGGGGAAAAAAACCTATTATCCTTCAGCATGATAACTGCTACTGCAGCTCCAAATGGATACAGAAGCATCTCAAGTGCAGTAGCTAAAGAAAAGTCTGTTGGATTAAAGTCTACTGATTAATCTCTAATAAATGAGCAAGAAAACCTAAAGTCTTTTTTTCTCCCTCATCTGCTTAAGGCCTCTGCCATTAACTCCTAAGGGGGCTACAATCAGCCTGTGTCTAATAACTTTTTCTCATCTAATTTTAAAATGCATGTTCTTAAATTATTGCTTTCATGTGTGGTGAATTTAAACTCTAATCTATACAGTATTACAAGAGGAATAAACCCTCTGAATTCACATATAACAAGCCATGCTGGAGACTGCACAAGCATGACTTGTCATTATGTTTGAATTCAGCATCCATCGCGAAGTGCAGAGAAATAATATTTTTGTAAGATTTCTGCACTTCACCATGGTTTGTTGTTATGTGTGGCCCCAGTTACAATATTTCTCTGCAGTTTCTACATTTCTGCCGTAGTGTTTGACAGAAAGAGCAGCCACAGCTGCTGCAGGTGCTCCAGCATGCAATTTTGTTTTTTGCTGTCCTGTTCCTGAGGCAGTTGCAGTCTGATTGGCTGCCTTGTGTTGCCAATTCCCTCTGTTCAGGTGCTGCCTTCCCAATGCCCAGCCACAGCTCTGAAATCTTGGCAGTAGAAGGGCACTGCACTGCACGGCCTCCAGCAGCAACCACATTGCAGACAGGCATGCTTGACACTGCAGTGCCTCTGCTCTGTTCTTAGAGCCAGAGTTGTCCTCTTGTGAAAGTTGCCCTACACAAGAGGAACACACAGGCTGCGTCCAGCATTGCCAACAGGGTGCTCACCTAGAGAAGCCTATGTCTCCCTCTCTGTCTCTTTCCCTTTGCCCCACTTGTTCCCAAAAATCCCTGGAACTCCCCTCAAGCCCTCCTGTACTCCCACTGCCAGCTGTGGGACTAAGAGTGTCATCAGGCAGATGTCCACACAAGCACCCTTGGGAAATTCTGTCTGGTAGGATTCGCTCCCTGGCATGGGAAGCCATGCTGTGCACCTTCTGTGCACCTGGATGCAGGGGGGCACAGATCCTGAGATTGGTGTGTGTGTGTGTGTGGACACATGTGCAGGGAGGGAGGGAGGGTATACAGGTGTGTGCATGCATGAACGTGTATGTGTGCTTGTATATTGGCATAGTGTGCGATAGTGGTTTGGAAGTTCTCCTGCAGTGCTCCTCTAGAGCAACAACGTTACTCTAGTGAGTAGGCAACTGCTTTGCTAAGCAGTAGAAAAAACCAAAACTCCCCTTCAAAAAAGGCAGACTACACAGGCCTCACTCAGGGGAGCATACAGGTTAATAAACAAGATGCAGGTAGCATAAGTAGGAGTGGTGCACCCTAGGATAATCAATTATCATTATATGATTCTGTGCCATAGGGGCTAATGGGATATTTGTGGCCATTTGGAGAGATGATAGAGAAGCATGGAAACCATGCAGATGTGTGACCCAGGGCACAAGGTAAGATACCATGCCATGGAGTAACCACACAGCATCGCTTAGCATTACGTACTCATATTGTGTAAACTTCTTTCTGACAAACAATTCTGAGATGTTGAATAGGTTGGCCATTCCTGCATTCATCTGCCAGCTCAGCAGCTTACAGGGTTAGAAAATAAATGTGATTTCATTCTGATTTTATAATCACAAGTTTCTTTTGAAATCTAATTGCAACCTTAATATCATTTACTTGTAAATGTCAAAAGAATTTACTTTCGAGTATGTCAGCTTTAGTCTTAACAGGCCTCA